AATAAACCTGGCATAAAAATTATGGACCCTTAATTTTTTTGTAAGTGGTCAAACTTACAAAATCAGCAGGGGATCAAATAATTATTTTCCCCACTGTACATACATACAGTATTCTGGCAAGTATTTCATAATTAATGTTTAAAAGTTTATTGTTAAAAGTTTCACAAAACGGGTTCCTTTCCATATGTAAAACTTGTAAAAGATAAACACAGGCCTTTATGAATCATATATAACGTTCTCTTTGGGGTTTCTTTTTCAATATCTCCATGACTATTTACCCAATAAATAATTAAGTGGACATGAAATAAAGATTTGAGTTGAAATTATTTTGTAGAGACAGTGGACCGTTTCTGCTTTAAAGCAACAAATAAAAAAGTAAATAATTGTGAAATAAAGTTTAAAATAAGCTTATTGCATATTGCATATATCGCATTTGTGTAATCTATAGCTGCAATTATAAGATATAAAACAGCAGTTTTGAGAAATAGTTGTGAGATATTAAGTTGTAATTTCAAGATATAAAGTCAAAATCAGTAGATATAAAGAGATAGGTTTGTTAGTTAGTTAGTTAGTTAGTTAATTTTTTTTAATCTGTCAGCAATCAAGTATCAGTTTAGATGGTAGGTCATTATACATAAATGTGACCTTGGACCACAAAACCAGTCATAAGGGTAAATTTTTCACAAAAAAAAAAAATACCTATTTGAATATCTGGAATCTGAGGGTGCAAAAAAATCTACATATTGAGAAAATCGCCTTTAAAGTTGTCCAAATGAAGATCTTAGCAATGCATATTACTAATCAAAAATTAAGTTTTAATATATTTACAGTAGGAAATTTACAAAATATCTTCATGGAACATGATCTTTACTTAATATCCTAATGATTTTTTTGCATTAAAGAAAGATCAATAATTTTGACCCATACAATGTATTTTTGGCTATTGCTACAAATATACCCCAGCGGCTTAAGACTGGTTTTGCGGTCCAGGGTCACAAATGGTAAATCATTATATTAATTTATGTTATATGATGTTATAATTATGGTAGATCATCATTATGAATATTTGACAGAATCAAGCATGTATGCAATGGAAAATTATGCTATCTGTATTTTGAATACATATACAGGGCCTAGATTTACAAAACATTCTCAAGACGTTCTTTTGATTTTCATAAAACAGAAACGACTTAAAAAACGACCAAAAAAAGTTTTTAAAAATCATCTTAAATAGCCTCTTGAAGTTAGGATGGCCTCACACTTTGACCTTTGACATATTTATTCTTACTATTACAATATTTTACTTCTAAAATTTAACATTCTTATGTGTTCTACATGGAAAGACAGTCAAAAACCATTGGGTTGCAAGCTGCTTTCTATTACAAAAAAAAAAAAGAGGAATATTAATAGATTTATTAAACATTTACCAGTATTGAAATATTACATTGATTAGACAAGGTAATTGAGGATCCTGTCAGTTTTTTCTGAAAAAAAGAAAACTAAGATTTTTATTTGATAACATTCTTACAAACTTCTTATTTACAGTATTTTTAGATTTTTTTCTACATTTCCTGCAGTTGTATACTGGTTGGCCACACATATGCTAACACAAGGCACTAATCTTGTTAAATGTTAAATCGTTTTTTCCATACGGGAAGCTCGCTCAAATGTGCCTGCCTTAATGATTTCAGATTTACTCAACTTATTAAAACGTTTCCGCTCATTAATTTTTCCCATTTAATATCACTTATGCTCCATTCTAAGCGATTCTTTCCCCATCTCCCCGTCTCTCTCCCAGCAGGTCGACCCCATGCTGACCCCCGAGGAGAGACAGCTGAATAAGATGCAGAATCACGGCTATGAAAACCCCACTTACAAATTCTTCGAGCAAATGAACTGAGGAGGGCTCTGCAGTCTCAAGGCCATGCCCTCCTCTCTCGCCTCCTGTTTTTCGATTGGGGTTTCCACTGCAACCCCCTCTCCCTCGTACTGTATGTATGACTATATGACCGATGTTCAAAATGTACAACAAACCTGGCACGTAAATAGGGAGTTTGTAGTAAAAAGTTTGCATACTACTCTCTCATCAGGGAGAGACACTAATAAGAGAATCCGCAGAGCACCGAAAGCTCCTTTATCCCCCGGTTTTTCCTTTCATTCATGAGGGTGTGGCCGCGCCGAGCATGGTCGGCCGTTTTAAAATCTTGGAATAGTGTCACACTTTCTTTCAGAATGAATTTCAAAGAAGCTAAACATGACCTGAGTGCTTTGTTTTGTCGTTTCTATTTTCAAAGCAGTTTATTTCATGGCGAAACTGTGATATGAATGAAATAATATATTTTTGAGTTCACCGGAAGATGTTTTGACCCTCTAAGACAACTTAGTTCTAAAAGTCATTTTAGAATAAACTGCTAGTCTCTTTCTGTTTGACTTCAGACATAAAACGAACGAGGTTTGTATTCACGTATAACTCAACCATCCGACATTCTGGTAGATCGTTAGTCTCAAACCACACCGTAAGAAACTGAATCAGTGTTTTAAACGTACCACGAACGTTCATCGAACAATACTACCCGAACGCTTCGAATATTTTTCTGGTATTGCTTCTTTAAAAGTCAATTCTAAGTAATCTGAAGTCCATACGCGTAAAGAAAAGCATGCGAAATTTGGTGTATGATGCTATAACGTACTTGTGTTGGTCCTGTTTCTTGCTTTTTGATAAAAATGAAAATATCACACTGCAACAATGACGTGTACATAACTAAAGACGTAAATCGAATAGACGTTTCTATCATTAATTTGTATCGACGCAACGTGTGGACGTAAAGATGACCTTGTGCTGCTCACACAGAGAACGAAACATTTCCTAACATGGCTGAATGAAAACAGACTGTTGTATAAACCAGCACAAGAAAATGACACAGTAACTCCTGACTGAATGTATCTTCGGTAGACATCGGCTCCATTCACGTCCCTCCTCACACACCGCGGCGGTTAGAGCGCAGGTTAGGCCCTGTCCACACGAACGCGGTTATTTTTAAAACCGCAGCTTTTTCTACGCGGTTAGGCCGTTCGTCCACACGCAAATGCAGCACCAGTTCACTGAAACCGAACATTTTTGAAAACGCCTGCCAGGGTGAAGACTTTCAAAGACTCCGGTTGCAGTGTTATCGTGTAGACGGCGAAACCGGAGTTTTTGGCTTGTGACGTCGGCGCCTGCGCTGTTATCTCCGCCTACAGGAGACTTTTTCAGGCTTCTGATTGGCCAACATGGCTTTACGGTTGAGATTATATCGCCACCTGTTGGTTTGGCATGCTCTTGACAGTGCTTCATGGCATGCGTTTGCGTTTTCATGTGGACGGATATTTTTTTTAAATGGAAGAAGGAAAAACTCCGTTTTTAAAAATACCCATGTACGTGTGGACATGGCCTTAGTTAGCTTAGCTAATCGTTCCGTTTTCATACAGTAGTTGATTTAACTGTCGAGGGTTTGTGTTGCGTAACCGAAACTAGCGTCACCTCTGAAAGGTTGAAAACAACTGAGGAGATGTGATTCCAAAACTGGTTTAGGTTTCTGTACACATGTCACTAAGTCTTGCAAATCAAGTTTGTTTTTTAATATTAGAGGGTTATAGAGTTGTCAGTCTAATGCGTTTCTGTTTTAGTACATAATAGAAATTTTAGATCAAATTTTTGGGTGTCTGTCGCTGTGACACAAATAACGTAAACCCAACAATTACTGTTAGCCTGTCGTAGAAAGGACATGTCTTGCTCTAAATCTTTTTATTAGTAGACCGAACAGGTTTTTGAGAAGAAAACAGAAAATCATCATGTGCTTATATATTACGTGACATATCAGCAGAAGTGAAACCAAAATGTGGGCCCAGTACGTTTATGTTTGCCGTTACTTCAGTCCAAAACTACACTTTTAAACCAAACCAAACTCCGTCCCATGAAATCTTAGCTCATATTGATTTCAAAAAATAAATATACAGATTTATTCTGAGTCAACACGCAACAAACTTTTCGTTTGTGTCTGATTGCATTGCCTTTTTTGTCTTCCTTTGTTTGTTCTGCGACATATCTGAACTGAAACCAAACAACAGAAGCAGCTTGCTTAACTGCACATTACTGGAATATTTGATTGGACAGAAGCTTCTCGATGCATTCTAATAATTTTAAGGCATCATTAGATTCATTAGACTTAGACTGGTCTAATTCATCAACTGGCACCAGATGCTCATGGCACTTAAAACGGATCATGGACGGCCTGCTGTTGATTTGATCGTGCTGAGGTGTATTTATGAATTGTGATGAGTTAAAATTGTGGTTTGATGCCCTAATTTAGGACTCTTATATAGATTTCGTACCAGCATCAGGCAGATTTAGGATGGTGTATTCAATAGGGATTGAATTTAAGTTTATACGTGTCTTCTCTTGGTTGAGATGACCCTTCCCTCTTTTATCCTGAACCAATAGAAATGTAAACAAAGTTACGGATGTTTTAACTGCTGCATTATTGCCTTTTTCAATGCTGTGTTTTGGATGTAATTATATGTATTTTTTATTTAAGTCAATATTAATTGGAGTTTGGGTCATTTGGACTGTAAACACTGAACGGGTCTCATGCTTGAAAACTAAACTAATTAACTGAGAGCACAACTGTATACAGATTGACTCATTTGTGTCCATTCATTAGTACTTCAAAATCTTTTCTCGTCTTGCTGAAGAATCAGTAAAGTGAAGGTTAAGAGCCTACGTCTAATGTGTTGAACATCCTATACACCCCAATTTTATCTTTCAAATTACTAGCATGTATTGAAGATACAGCTTGATAATGTAAAATAATTGGTTACTTTAAAAGTAAAGATGTAATTTGGTGAACTGGTGCTTTAAGGAACTTGTCATTAAGCTACTGAAACAAATGCAGTGAAATAAGCTGATCTCGAATCATTCTGAATTTCACCAAAGACGTGTTCTGGATATGATTGGAAGGCCAAATAATGCGGTGTGTTTTTAATTGACATGTATTATAAGAGCAAGCAACCTGTGAACTGATCTGGCTTGTTGTACTTGCATTAAAATGACAATAAAATTATAAATGACCCACACAGTTTGACTGTGGTTTTTAACTTTTTAAATAAATGCCTATGGCAATTTATATGATCTCACCAATAATCTACAGTCTGCAGTGTGTAATAGTGGAAGTTGTTGTGAATGGAACATGAAAAAAGCATCAGCCTGTCAACACATTTTCTGTCCTTCAGATGCAGCAGTTGCTTACTTTTACTTCTGATAAAAAGATCAGTCTTCTAGAGTACCTCTATACTGGAGGTAAAATACTCTAATAGCTACTGTTTTTTTCTTTTCTGAAAAAAAAAATATTGTTTTCACATTGAAGAACACTTTACTAGAGCTTAATCAAAGGTAAAGTATGTGTGTAAGTGGGTGAGTTGGTGGACTGGTGATTAACAGGAAGTATTTCAAAGTTAAACAGGTTAGAATAACCGCATACCCCTTTTCACTTCACTTACATAGAAAAACCAAGACGTTAACTATATTTGGTCTATATGTGTGTCACTTCATATCAATAAAGTAGTATGATTTGGGTGATAACAAAAAAAAGATTGTTTCCATCATTACTGATCTGAGATCATTTTACTACTTTTTGTCCAACCTGTTTTTGTAACTGACAAAAACAAGCTTATAAAAGCATTAGATCTTTGCAGACTGTGGTAGATAGACAACCAACCGCAACGGGTTTCTGTACCTTGACTGGTACTTATTTTCAGGTTGCACTAGTCATTTGTTAGTGTTCTGTTTTTCTATGTAATATTTTATATATATATATATATATATATATATATATATA